CTCCCGTGTCCCTCCCATGTCCCTCCCGTGTCTCTCCCCGCGTCCCTTATGCCACTCCTCTCGTGTCCCTCCCGTGTCCCTCCCGTGTCCCTCCCGTGTCCCTGCCGTGTCCCTGCCGTGTCCCTGCCGTGTCCCTTATGTCAGTCATCCCGTGTCCCTCCCGTGCCCCTCCCGTGTCCCTCCCGTGTCTTTCCCGTGTCCCTCCCGCCCCTCCCGTGCCCCCACTCCTCCCGCGTCCCTCCCGCGCCCCCCCCGTGTCTCTCCGCGTGCTTCCTCCGTGTCTACCCCATTGGGTGTTATCTGGATGTTGCCTGGGTGTTGTCTGGGTGTTGTCTGGTGTTGGTTGGTGTTGTTTGTTTGTTGTTTGTTGTTGTGTGTTGTTGTTTGTTGTTGTCTTGTGTTGTCTGGGCCCGCCCGCGCCCAGACAACACCAGACAACACAAACACAACAAACAACAACATGTTGTATATTGTTGTTTTGTTGTTGTTGTGTTGTTTGTTGTTGTCTGTTGTTGTTGTTTTTTTGTTGTGTGTGTTGTCTGGTGTTGTCTGGGGTTGTCCTGGGTTCCTCTGGCGTTTGCCTGGGGTCGCACCCCTTTTTGCTACCCTACCGTCTTGTTGTTTGTTGTTTTTGTTTGTTCCCCCCCCCCCGTTTTTCGTTGTGTGCCCCCTTTCCATGTTTTCATGTTTTGTGGTTCCCCCATGTTTGTTTCTCGTTGTTTTTGTTTGGTGATTTGTTGTTGATTTTTTCTTCTTCTCCAGTTGTTGTTCCCCCCTCCAGTTGTTTAATATAAAAACTGCTGTTTTCTCTGATGTGCTTCCTCCTCCTCCTCCTGCTCCTCCTGCTCCTCCTCCCCCTCCTCCCGCCCCTCCTCCTCCTCCTCCTCCTTCCTCCTCCTGCTCCTCCTCCTCCTCCGCCTCCTCCTCCTCCTCCTCCTGCTCCTCCTCCTCCTCCTGCTGGGAGATCTGTTGGGTTCTCGTGGGAGGAGGGGGAGGAGGAGGAGCGGGCCAACCGCTTTGCTTCGAAATTTTGCGAACGGCGTAGTCCCCACGCTCCTCCTCCTCCTCCTCCTGCTCCTGCTCCTCCTCCACCTCCTCCTCCTCCTCCTCCTCCTCAGCGGACCAACCGCTTTGCTTTGTAGTTGTCAAACGTAGCTCCTCCTCAGCGGACCATCCGCTTTGCTTATTCATGTTTGCAGCGGTCTGTCCGCTTTGCCACGCTTGCATGCTTATGCGATGTTGTGTTCTTGTTGCTTATTTGTTATCGTCACTATTTGTCAATATTTTCGATGTTTTCCACTATGTTCACTATTTTCCTTTATTTTTCAATAGTTTTCACTATCGTCACTGTTTTTCACTATTGTTTCACCATTTTTACTATGTATTCACTATTTTTCAATCTTTTATTATGTTTCACTATATGTTGATACGATCCTATAGAAATCTAAAGGACGATATGGCTTTCTATAGTCTTTGCGTTCATCAAAGTGGGGCTTCGGCCCGTCCCGACGGGGTCCCGGAAGGCCGCGTAAACCACCTCAGCGTCCACAAAAAATCCTCCAAGACGGCTCAAGATGGCCTCCAATATGGTCACGCTGGCCCAAGATGACCTCCAAAATGGCCCAAGATGGCCTCCGAGACGGCCCAAGAGAGGAGGAGATGCATCCAAGTCCGCCCAAGAAACCGCCAAGACGGCCCAAGATGGCCCAAGAGGTGCCGAAGAGGCCTCCAAGACGGCCAAAGAGGCCTCCGAGATGTCTTCCAGGAGGGCCCGAAGAGGCTCAAACCATTAAGTTTGCTTTGTGTTTTTTTGTTTGTTGTACTTGCTCCTTTTCGGCCTTCTGACGACCCAAGACGGCCCAAGACGCCCCCAAGATCGCCCCCAGAGCGCCCAAGAGGCCTCCAAGATGGCCTTAGGACTGCCCAAGAGGCCCCAAAGACGGCCCCAAGAGGGCACAAAGACGACCCAAGAGGCCTCCAAGACGCCCAGGATGGCCTCTACGACGGCCCTGGATCACCCCAAGGGCCCCCAGTCGGCCCAGAGAGGCCCCCCAAACGGCTTCCGACGGCGTCAGACGGGCCAGGAGCCCACCAAGATGGCCGAAGTTCCCAAGACGGCCCAAGAGGCCTCCAAGAGGGCCTCCAGGAAGGCCAGAAAAGGCAAAACATTAATTGTTCCTAGGCTTTTCAAGGATTTTGACATCTCTTTCTTTTCGGCCTTCAGACGGCCCGAGACGGCCCAAGAGCCCCCAAAGATCACCCACAGAGCGCCCAAGAGGTCTCCAAGATGGCCCCAGAACGGCCCAAGAGGCCCCCAAGACGGCCCCAAGAGACCCCCAAGACGGCCCAGGAGGCCTTTCAGACGCCCAAGAAGGCCTCCAAGACGGCCCTGGAGCATTCCAAGAGGGCCACAAGTCGGCCCAGAGAGGCCCCACAAACAGCTTCCGACGGCGTCAGACGGGCCAGGAGCCCACCAACAGATGGCCCTAAGACGGCCCAAGAGGCCTCCAAGAGGGCCTCCAGGAAAGCCCGAAAAAGGCCCAAATCATTGATTTCCCATGAGTTGTTGAAGGATCGTGGCATTTGCTCTTTTGTCGGCCTTCCGACGGCCCGAGTGCCCCCGACGATCGCCCCAGAGGCCCAATACGGCCCAAGAGGCTCCCAAGACGGCCCAAGAGGCCTCCACGACGCTCAAGATGGCCTCCAAGACGGCCCAAGAGCCCTCCAAGACGTCCTCCAAGAAGGCCCGAAAGGGTCAAAATGGCCTCCAGACGGCCAAGATGACCTTCGATGCCCACGTGTTCCCCGAAGGCTTTCCAAACCGATTCGGGGAACACATGGTCCGATAGCTTGGCAGGTCTGGCCTCAACGTTCGGCCACATAGGCGCTTCCAACAAGGCAGGGGGCGGCGGTCATTCGCCGTAGGCGTCTTCGATAAATGCAGCGTGAGACGGGGAGGGAGTCAAAAAGAGAGGAGGGACGAGGGCGAAGGAGCATCACATCAGTCGGGGCGCCCCGGATCGGCGGCACTGGCCGGAGGCCACTACAATCAGACATAGCTGGCCGCCTCGTCTTAAGTCGGGCGTGTCCCCGTACAGGGGGACTTTGGGCGAAACATCTAAATTACCCCAGTGCGACCCTACCTAGAAGTTGGAGCCCCTAGGAAAGCAGCATTAGTTGCTATGTTATACAATGCTATGCTATGCCATGCTATGCTGCGCTATGCTATGCTATGCTATGCTATGCTATGCTATGCTATACTGCGCTATGCAATGCTATGCTATGCGATGATATGCTATGCTAAGATCTGCTATGTCATACTGCGCTGTGCTAAGCTATGATATGATATGACATGCTAAACTGCGCTATGGTATGCTATGCTATGCTATGCTATGCTATGCTATGTTTTGCTGCGCTATGCTATGCTATGCTATGCTATGCTATGCTATGCTATGCTATGCTGCGCTATGCTATGCTATGTTATGCTATGCTTGGCTATGTTATGCGATGCTATGCTATGCTAATGCAGCGCTGCGCTATGCTAAGCTAAGCTAAGCTAACCCTCTAGGCAGAGCCTAGGTAGGGAATTACATCCATGCTAATGCTATGCTGCGCTATGCTATGCTACGCTATGCTATGCTATGCTGTGCTCTGCTATGCTAAAACTCAGCAAAGCTAAGATGAAGGTAATTTAAGCTAAGATAAACCTGAGCTAATATGAAGCTAAGCTAAGCTAAGATGAAATAAGCTAAGCTAAGATGAGACAAGCAACGCTAAGCTAAGGGGACGCAACTGGGGGAACCGCGGGGCGGATCCTGGGGGAACCGCCCGGGGCGATTTCTACTGCCCGGTCCCTTTAAGCTCATAGGGTAAGAACCCTTCTAGGCAGAGCCCAGGTAGGGAAATACTCAAAAAATACCCCCCAAATACTCAACAAATAGTTAAAAAATTGTCCCCAGACAATTTGTTTAAAAATTTTTGAATATTCCCCCTGTGGAGGGACACGCCCGACTTAAGCCTAGTCTCTCGACACGCGGGCCCGCCGACGGCGAAATAACCAAACAGTGGCAACCAGTCTGGGGAGGACGCATCCAGAGCGGCAGAGCGACGTTATTGTCGGCGTTCGACGGTTCATCTTCTTTAGTTTGTCGTGCACGCCCATAGGCGCTGGCGAACTGTCGATGCTCCCTCAGCCCTGCCAACATGCCGCGTCAATCATCCGCCAACGTCGTGAAGCATGACTGGTGATTTGAGATGGTCTGCCCACATCTTTGAACGAGAGAGAGAGAGAGAGTGAGAGAGAGAGAGACCGCGAAAACCGCATCCTTGCGCAGAGGGGTCGAAGTTGTATGGCAGAAGTGAATGGCGCGAGGATGCTTAAATCAAGCACTGCGCAATTTGAGCGACATGGGGCATCCGACGTCCGCTGCCTGAACCGGTCCCAGCTGAAGTGATGAAACACGAGAGGCCTGCCACCACAGGAGTTTGAAGCCATTTCAACGTACCCGCCCTCTCGCTTGACTCCCGACCTAGTTGGGAGTCACGCAGGGGACTCGCATCTCCAAGTGGATCAAGGGTGCGAGCAGAATGAGAAGATGGCGAATCAAAACGCACGAGCAGTCAAGCGATCAGAAGGCAATGGGGGCGAGGCGAGTTCACGAAGCTGGCCCGTGCCCCAACGACATGGGGAAGAGTGACGGGCACGATGAATGCAGCTCGGGCAAGACAGTTCCTCCCCCATAGTGTGGAAGACGTGCTCACTCTCGCACGAAGGCTATCGACGACAGTAAAACGAAAGGACTGGGGTTGCTGAATGGTCAAACTGACAACACATTGGGATGCAGCGCTGAAGCATCCAAAACATTCCCACGATTTGTTACTCGGGTGGGGGAAGGTCGAGGATATGGGACAGGGGGAAAGGAAACGTGGGGGACGGAGGGGGGATCGAAATGAAGGTTAGAGAGACAAAAGGGGGGTAGATGGAGCACTGTCGCGATCGCCTCATGCTGTCCCGCAGCTGCGTGACCGCCTTCAGCCGCGCGGCAAGCCCATCCGGCCCATCCGTATCGCCTTGCAGAAAAACGGGAGCCGCTACTCCACTGTCTCACGCAAATAACTGGTACTATGAATGACCTGGTCATGAAAGTAGGAACTTCTGGGAGGCTGTCTCGAGCACAAACTCACAAGCAACACTCAAAAACTAAGAAGCCGGGTTAGGTCAAGGATCAAGGCAACTATGGAACCGCACCGGACGTGACTGGGCCGTGGTGGGCGGGCCTATGCTTGGACATCACCAAGGCAAGAACGAACACATACTGAACCACCCAGGAATGACAACGTGAGACGACGCGTCCCGCTGTTTTGAAATGTATCACTCCAAAGTGCAGTTAAGACGGAATAGGTGGCCGCAGCCAGATTTCTCGGAACAAGCCCCTCAGAACTCCTGAAAGAGTATCCTGTATAATCAAAACAAAAATTCATATCCCGACTGCGCCTTGTTTTTTTTCCCAGCTCGTGGACGCCTGATGGTGCGCCATACTTCGAGCCAATGGGTTCGTGTGCCAGGCAGCGGTGCTTCTGCCACCAATGCAAAGTGAATTCCTGCCCTGCTAAAACAATAAGTTTTGGCTTGCAGTCGACCCTGGCGCCCGTTGTCAGCCTATCTCTAGCACGTGGATCCACATGGTGGGGGATGACGGCGTGAGGAACCACATGTGTTGTGATTTCGTGAACACGTTATACGTGATGAGGATGAGGATGTGACCATAAGACAATGTCCAGTGCCGAGTTGATTGGTAGAACAAGTAACTAATTAGGAAGAGGCTCATCAACTTTGCACTTTCTCACCCCCGACTGCGTTGCGGAATGATGCGCAGCCAGAACGACTGCGACCGCTGCGACACAGGGCCACAGTCGGCGTTACCACTTGGCCTTCGAGACAAAAAACGTCATCACACCTTCTCGACAACACGCAAAAACACTGCCGAAAGACAATGAGCGTGGTATGTGTTACGTCCTGGTGGCGCATCTCGTGGTCTTGCCGTTAGGCCAGAAAACAATAATACACAAGACATATCGACGCTTTGGTCCCACCGCCAGCCCAAACGGCGAGCATACATCGGGCGTAGCCCCGCACGCATTCGAATGCCCACACTTCGTCCTCGTACTACTCGTATTCCTCCCGTCCTCCTCCCCATCCTCGTCGTCGTCCTCCTCCTCGTCCTCGTCCTCCTCGTCTTCCTCGCCTTCCTCTTGCTCCAGCTCGGTTTCCTATTCGTTGCGCCATACGTTGCGCCCTCAACGGCTGAGAATAAAACCGTCTCCCATCGGTTGCGCCATAATTTGCGCCCTCGGCGGCTGAGAATTCGCCGGCCCAACGGGCCAAGGGCGTGCTAAGATCTGCGGTAACTGGTTAACAAAATGTCTAGTTCGCGCGCGCGGGGCCGCCCCTGGGGGTCCCTGGACGACAAGTCCCTGCAAGGTCCGGCAAGATCCCGTGCAGGTCCTGGGCAGGTCCCAGCAGGCACCCGAGAGCGCTCCAGGAGCGCTTCAAGTGGCCTCCAAGAGAGCTCAACATGTTCCGAGACGGTCCAGGAGCGATCCAAGACGCCAAATATTGCCTCCAGACAGCCCCAAGCGCCTGCAAGACGCCCCAAGAGGCTTCCAAGAGACCTTCCAAGAGGGCCCACAAAGGCAGAAATTAGTGATTCCCCTTCAGTTTCTGACGGTTTTTGGCGTTCTCGCCTTTTCGGAGTACCAGCGCTCCAAAACGGCCCAAAAGGCTTCCAAGACCGCCCCAAGACGGCCCACGAGGCCTCCAAGAAAGCCCCAAGACGGCCCAAGAGAGCCCGAAAACGGCTCCAAGAGGGGCCCAAGAAGGGGGCCGGGAGCCGAAGAGTCCAGCCTTCAGCCCCAAGAGGGCCCCAGGAGGCCCAAGAGGCCCCCAAGAGGCCCCAAGGGGCCCCCAAAAAGCACCCCAAGAAGCCCCAAGAGGCCCCCAAGAGGCCCCAACACGGCCCCCAAGAGGCCTCAAAACTGCATCCCGAAAGCTCCTGAGAGGCCAACCACGAAAGCCCAAACAACATCCGTGAGGCCTCTGACCCGCCTCTCACCGCCTCCGAGAAATGGCAGCCGCCCAACCGCACCGCATTGACAACAGCACCCCGACAAACGACAGCGGCGAGGCAAGATGGTCCAGCGGAATATGCGAAGCGATTAAGTAAAACCGTCTCCTATCGGTTGCACCATAGACTGCGCCCTCGGCGGCCGATAATAAAACCGTCTCAAGTCGGTTGCGCCATAGACTGCGCCCTCGGCGGCCGAGGATAAAACCGTATCCTATCGATTGCGCCGTAGGTTGCGCCCTCGGCGGCCGAGAATAAAACTCCGATCGGTTGCGCCATAGGTTGCGCCCTTGGCGGCCGAGGAGAAAACCGTCGCGTAACGGACCAGTCTGTTCAGTTCAGGTTCAGTTCAGTCAGTTCACGTGGCGAGAAACAAATTCGGGCTACGCCTGAAAATCATTTACATCACAACGAAACACCAACCAGAATAATCACTGAAACCTTACAGGCTCCTCCACGCCTGGCACACGTGGCTGCTTTCCCAGCTCACCCTGCCGAATTTACTGTATCTACCCTCTCATCACGCTCTGCTCAATTCTCTAATCTCTACTGCACTCACTATCTCTCTCTGTCTCTCTCCCAATCCGCCACCGTGCCGCTGGGCACGGAGTGAGCGTATCCTCAGGTCCTCTGCCCAATCCCTGTAGCACTCCAGAAGAGTTTTCACGGGGCCCGGACCCCAAATGCTCAAATCCCTCGGGGCTTGTCGCGTGCCCTCTGGGCTCTAGCGCATCCTGTTGCATGAATTAGTCGGGCCCAGGAGGGACCCAAGACAGGCCAAAAGGGCCCCACGGGGCCCCCAAGACGGACCAAGATGGCCCCGAGCCGCCGAAAGATCATTCAAAGACGCCCAAGATGGCTTCAAAATGGCCGCCTGGCGTGCTAGACCCTATACGGCTTGGTTTCGGCTCTCTTCCAAAAGAGCTCACCCTGGGGCTTCGGTCGATCCCGCCGGCCACCTGGAAGGCCGAAAATGCTAGGGTGGTTGCCCAAATCGCCTCCAAGACGGCCAAGATGGCCCAAGATGGCCTCCAAGACGGCCAAGATGGTCTCCAAGTTCGCCCAAGATGGTCCAAGATGGCCTCCAAGACGGCCCGAGAGGGTCCAAGATGCTCCAAGTCTGCCCAAAAGGCCTCCAAGACGTTGTTTCGGCCTTCCGACGGCCCAAGACGGCTCAAGAGGCCCCCAAGATGGTCCACAGAGCGCCCAAGAGGCCTCGAAGAAGGCCCGGGGACGGCCCGAGAAGCACCCAAGACGGCCCAGAGGGGGGCCCAAGAAGGCCCAAGAGGCCTCCATGACAGCCAAGATGGCATCCAAGACGGCCCTGAAGCATTCCAAGAGGGCCCCAAGACGGTCCATAGAGGCCCCCAAGACGGCTCCCGACGGCGTCAAACGGCCAAGGGACGCCCGATGACGGCCAAAGAGGCCCCGGTCAAGCCCCCCAAAGGCCCCCAAGAGGCCGAAGGAGACCCCGAAGAGGCCTCGGAGAGGCTCCCAGGAAGCTTCCAGGAGACCCCAAGAGTGCCCCAAGAGGCTCCCAGGAGGTCTCCTCCTCCTCCTCCTTTTCTTCCTTCTCCTCCTCCTCCTCATATTATTATTATTATTATTCCTCCTCCTCCTATATTCCTCCTCCTCCGCATCCTCATCCTCATCCCCATCATAATCATCATCAGCATCAGCATCAGCATCACCATCAGCATCGTCGTCATCATCATCAGCATCATCATCAACATCATAATCATTAGCATCATAATCATCCTCATCATCATCAGCACCAGCAGCATCATCATCAGCATCATCATCACCATCACAACCATCATCATCATCATCATCAGCATCATTTGCATCAGCATCATCATCAGCATCAGCAGCATCATCATGAGCATCATCACCATCACCATCACCATCACCATCACCATCATCATCATCATCATCCCTTTTCCTTCTTCTCATCATTCTGCTCTTCCTCACGTCTTCCCCGAAGGGTTTCAACGACGGATGGGGGGACACATGGTGCGATAGCTTGGCCAAGCTCTAGCCCAACTTTCGGCCACACAGGTGTTTCCAGAATAGGCAGGGGGCGGGGATGATTCGCCGTAGGCGTCTCCGATGTACACACACCTATATAGATAGGTACAACCATATGTATACATATATACACAACCAAATCTGGTCTATATTCTCTGATCTGTGCTCACGACTCTCTCAATTCTCATCATTATGACCGTGGTCGCAAGTACTCTCTGTCTCTCTCTCTCTCTCTCTCCCTCTCTCTCTCTCTCCCTCTCTCTACTGCACCACCCTGTCTACTGTGTCCACCCTCTCACCTCCTGCTTCCTTTTCTATAGTCTGTGCTGCTTACTATAATTGCTCAAAGCTGCTCTCTGGTCAACCCACGCTCTCTCGATAGCTCTACCCTGTGCTATCTACTCTCCATTTCTGGCCGCGGTCGCAAGGGCCCGGCTACTTGGCCGCAAACAACAACTCGAGAACCCAAGAGACTTACAAAGCTCTCAAACCCAGACCCGAAACCGAGAACCCAGAAACCCAACGGCTCACCGAAACCTGCCGAGAACTCGGATCCCCGGACCCAGTAAAGTGGCCGCCCACCGCAGAACTCGACCCTGGACTTTCGCTCGAAATCGAACGGGGGACCTGGGAACAGGGCGGCCCACCGAAATCGGCCCAGCACTTTCGCCAACCACTTCGGCTCTGGCCAGGAGGACACCTTCAATGCAAGAACCGTTTGGGGAACGATGCTGCATTTGACTCTATTTCAATGCATGCTCTTCCTCTCTCCGTGTGTCTGTTGCTGTTTTTCTCTCTCAATATATCAATATCTCTCCTCCTCGGAATTCGACGTGTCATTCACTGTGGCGTTGTCTCCCTGGCTTCGCATAATGAAAGGGTGGTCACTGCCTGCTCAGCGCCTGTCCCTTCATACGCCTCTCAATACCTCTGTCTACAAACTCGACGGTCGACTGTGTGAGCGCTTGGGTCGGAAAAGTACGCAAGAAACCTGAATGCTTCACGTTCGGGCACGACTCGTTGATCTCGATGAAATCGGCCACTGGGAGCACCTTTCTGATGCACTCCATGACTCCGTCCAACTTCTGCTGTCCCTAGCACGGGAAGGCCAAGTAGTGATGGAATGCTTCGGAGATCACCCAAAGACTCAGCTTTTGCGTTGTGTGAAACGCGGTCAAGCGACGCACACGCTGCGTTCAAAGGCAACAAACACATACACAGCCCAACAGAACCCAAGCACAACCATCTGTCCAGGATGTCTGATGAAGCTGGGGAGGAGATCTTGAAACTGCCACTTGAGCGCTCGGAGCGCTCACTGCCAGGACCCCTCAACTTGCACGCACACCTGTCACGCGGCACTGCCCCATCCCGCGTCCTCTTCGGCGCACCCCAACGAGGCGCAGGCTCCCTCACACCGCTCCGCGGGGCTCCTCGAAACGATCCGACGCTGCACGCGCCGCATCGCTCGAGATCGGCGGCACGCCCAGGGGGGGGGGGGCAGGCAGAAGGGGCGGGCGTTCTCTTGCCGTCGCTCGGACGTTCATTTCCAGTGCATGCTTCGGTTTCGTGCGTGTTGTTGTTTGCTCGATGGTCCAGGATGGTCCTCGATGGTTCTCGCCGAAGAAGAAACAATGCACACGTCCGAGCGATGCCAGGCCTTCCGAGAAGGCCTGCCCCCCCCCCCCCCTCACCTCCCCCCTCGGCGCGCCGCCGATGGAAAGTTGCAGGTGACTGCTCTGCCGAGTCGTGCCCATCTGCGCCGACGACGTCGCGACTGCTCTTCCCTCCCCTCTCGGTCCGCTCAGTGCCCTCGCGAGCAGCGGCTGAGTCTACACGTCGTTCATTTCTAATCGTGCTCGCTTCTAAGTGTGCTCGTTTCTAATTGTTCCTGGCCCCCTAGTGGGCAGGAAGAGGCCCAGGACAGAACAATTAGAAATGACAGGATCTTGGCCCCCCAAAAAATCAAGGAACTTTCGAATAATTAGAGATGAACAATGCGTAATTGTTTGAGAGTGTCGTCCAGGCCACTGCTGGTGCAACAGCAACCTACGTTGCGTGCAAATCATCGCGCTGCCATTCGGAACGCCACAGAAGGAACGAAGGGGCGCTCTGGCCTCAACGAGCCTCGGCCACGAACGGGTTCCCGGACGTAGAGATCTAAGGACCGGCCCGAACAGCTGATCCCTTCTGTATTCAAAATTGTCCTTACTTCAGCGCCTGACAATCGGCAACATATGAGATGGAGTGATGGCATTCTCTGGCACGTGCTCCGCCAAACCACCTTCGGCACGCTCGGGCGTATTTGAAAACCTGTCAGCTTCTGAGCACGGTGCCTGGAAGCTCTCTAGGGGCAAGATCGCTAGATCCCGAAAGCAGAATGACTTGTTTGGGACGATGCGGTTCAGAAAGAAACTGCGACATGAAGACAACCAGGACGAGAGGGAGGGAGAGGAGGAACGAGGAAGACTAATTGTTTTGACGTTGATGCCTGCCCCTACGATGCAACAGCATCGAGCTAGTCAGCAAGTCCCCGCCTGGAGAGACTCGCGAGGCACACGGATAAAAACGGCGTTCAAAACTAAATGCGCCACAGCTGGAAACAGACTAACGGCGGACGATAGGCGAACGAGCGAATAGTCTACTATCGCTCCAGAGCGTTCCAGAGCGCTCTCAGAGCGTTCCGGAACCCTCTGGAGCGGCCGCGGCGCCCAATACATCCTCCAAACCCGCCGATTCTCAGAGATTTCGAATTATCCCGATCCGATTTTGTCCCGATCTTCGGGTCGTTTTACAATATCAAAGATAACGCAGCGGCATTACGCAACGCAGCTCAGAGGTCTGCGCGACATTGTTGGGTCGGCGCCGGACACCCTCCCGCGCTGCCTTGGCGGCGCCCCTGGTGGCGGGGAGGGGGTCCGTGCAGGCAGGGGGTCCAGCGCCGACCCAAGAGATCCGCGAGGACCTCCAACAGTTTGTCGATGTCGTCCTTTGCTCTTCGATCATCGGCTTGACGATTCAGCGCCCCTCAAACGGGGACTCCACTAACGGGTACTTTGGCCAGTGACCCAGCGAACCCAGCCCTTCCCGATGTGGGCAAAGCTGCAATGCAAGAAAAAGGCCCTGAAGTGGCAACTTTCGGCAACATTGCAAAGTACCCGTTAGTAAGTACCCGTTACGGCGCCGATCCACGATCCACTCGTCTCGAAACCGGAGGGGGATGCCAACCGCGTCGGGTGCAGCTGCAAAGGGGGACGTGTCAGCTCTGGCGGCATGCTCGCGCCAGCCTCTTTAGCACTAGCCCTGCGCGCAGCCCTAATTGGCTACAAAATAACATCGGGCGAAGCACGGGGCAGGTTGGAGTCGGCCAGGGAACCTGAACTGGATGGGCATCGAGAAAATCTGACAAAACTGTCAAAAATCGGTCCCAGACCTTCCAAGGTCCGCCTGGTGTAGTGTTTCATCCTGGACCCGTTTTCACGGTCCCAGGCCCCGACCAGCTACGGACTGGGAGGCCGATCAGGGTCAAAAACCTCCTCGCACCGAGCACCTCGAACCTTGCTCCCCCTTCCTGCTGGCCCGAACCAGTGCTTGGCCACCTCCCAGCCGGCTCAAACAGGCAAGACACCAGGCGGGAGCTGACTTAAAATAGGGGGCGCAGCTGCCTGGACCGCCCGGATAGCCCAGCAGCCAGGCGCGGCGCGCGCAGAGCGCACGGGCCGCTTAGTGCTCGAGCGCAAAGACGCGCGTGCGCGCACGGGACACGCGCGCGCACGCTCCTCTTGTTTGGACTCCCGAAATGGGTACGGAAAGAATGGGTACGATGCCCAACAACAAATGTTGTCCCAAACCAACAGCGGCCGCTGTTGGGCAGGTGGCCTCCTGTCTCGAATGGACACAGGCCGCGGCGGCGTGGACAGCGAGGCCTGTTCAAAATGAACAGGAATTGTTGTTGGGCAGTGTACCCATTCTTTCGGTACCCATGTCGGGCTTCCAGATCTTGGCATGGCGGAGTGGTTCCAAGGAAACCGGTCATGCCTCGGAGTCGGCTTTTCCTCCTGGGTCGTTCTCTCTCACTGCCCCGAAGGCTGGGACAGGGCCCCGAAGAAACCGAACACGTGGAAGAACCTTCAAGGGCCCCTCCCCGAAGGACGCCCTTTCATCATGGCGACCCTGCGCAATCGCCCCCCCCGACCTCTCCAGGGGGCGCTCTGACCAAAATTTCGACACGAATCCAGTCGTGGCGACAAGTAACTTTTTGCAGGCGCCCGGAAAAAACACAAACCAAAAACATCAAACCTCAATCCCCGAATTTCGATTTCGTCAGTGATCCTCCAAACTTTTCTCAAAATCGCCCCCCCCCCCCCGAGCCACCATCCTCCAGTCCATACTGGCCAGTCTTTCGAGCCGCTCCCAACTACGGCAAGGAGAATCCTGTAGAAGCGCCTCAGAAAACATCCGAGAGGACCAACCCCCCCCCTCCCCTCGGGGACCCCTGCCATGGCTTGCGCCGACGATCATCAGGACGAGCATTGGCGCCAACGTGTGAATGTCCACAGAAGCAAGCGCGTCAACACCACGCAGCCGAACGAGGGCCGACGCAGGCTGCGTGCCATCGGTGGAGCTGAACGGGGTGAACGCACAACTGGGCTGACACACGTCCTGAAGATCACCGACCGTAGGCATCCGTCATGTGAGCCCTGCCCCTGCAGGACAGATCTCTGAGAAGCCTGCCGGGGTCCAGAAGCTACAGGATGTGTACAACCAGTCCAACACCAGCGGGGGGTCTGGCACAGCTCCCCGTCGCTCGGACGTCCATTCCCTGTGTTTTTTTGTGCGGTTTCGTGCGTGGCTATTTCGCAGGATGATCCAGGATGCTCCTCAATAGTCCGCGCCGAAAAAGGAGGTCCGAGCGATACCAAGCAGTGGGCGCACCAAATCAGAAGCTGGCCTGTCAGCGGGTGCCCCACGATCATTCCCCATCTCCGAATGGGCCCGCATAGCCCTGTGACACCCTAGAAGCGCCGAGAGAACGCGACTCACGGGCGCCTGCCCTGGGAACATTCGGAGGCGCGTCTCGAGCTGGGAGGTAGGCCTCCCCGCCCCAACACTCGGCGCCGTCGATCGGAATCAGGGGGGCTCCCCTCCCCCCTAGCCGCCCCTCCCGAACCCCCTCCCCCTTTCCAAGGGGAGGGGGGGTCCAAACCCACCCACACCCCGACGCCGGCGCCGGCGCCAGCGCTGGCGGCCGCCAGCAGCGCCGACGGCGGGGACGCAGCGACGATGACCAGAGGGGGCCCAGAGGCCGCAGAGGGAACACACAAATCGCCACATCGAATCCTCGCCCCCCAGAAGCCACCGAGAGGCTCTTAGGAAGGTCCACGCGGCTTCATACATGCTCATCATACATACATGCCCCGAGACCCTCTTGACGAGACCTCCAGGGGCATCCATTAAAACTCGGACCCACAACCAAAACACGGCGGCGGGAAGAGCCGGAGGCCACACCACCACCACCACCACCACAAACCACAACACCACCACCACACCCGCCACCACCACCACCACCACAACCACCACAACCACCACCGTCACCACAAACCACTACACCACCACCACCACCACCAAAAACGCCACCACCACCAGCACCACCACAACCCACCAAAAACCCACCGCAACCACCACCACCACAAACCACAACACCATTACAAGCACCATCACCACCACCACCATCACCACCAATACGACCACAAACCACCATCACCACCACCACCATTACAAACCACCACACCACCACCAAACACCACCCACCACCAACCATCACCACAACCACTACTACAACCACCCACCAACACCACAGCCCACCACCACCAACACCACCACCACCACCAATACCACCACCACCACCACCACCTCAACCCACCACCACCACCACCAAGCCACCACACAATCACCACCAGCACAGCCACCACCACCACCACCACAACAACCCACCACCACTACTACCACCATCACAATCTACCACACCACCACCACCACCACCGCCACAACCACCCGCTACTAGCAGCATAACCCACCACAACCACCCTCATCACGACAAAGCACCACACCACCACCACCACCGCCACCACCACCACCACCAGCACCACCGCCACCGCCACCGCCACCACCACCACCACCGCCACCACCACCACTACAAACCACCACGACACAAACACAACCACCGCCGCCACCACCACCACAACCCACCACCACCGCAAACCACCACCACATCACCAGCAAACCACCACCACCACCACCACGACCCACCACCACCCACCACCGCAACCACCACCACAACAACAATCCACCACACAACCACCACCATAACCACACCCACCGCCACCACCACCACAACAAACCACCACACCATCACCACCACCACGACCACGACCACCACCACCAGCACCACCCACCACCACAACAACCACCACCACCACAACAAACCACCACCAGAACCACCACAACCACCACCACCACCGCCACCACCACCACCACCACAACCACCATGACAAACCACCACAGCCACCAGCACAACCACAACACCCACCTTAACCCACCACCACCACCACAACTACCACCACCACCAGAAACCACAGCACCACCACCGCCAACACCACCACCACCACCTCAACCACAACCTGCCACCACAACCACCACGACAACCGTTAACCACCACTTCCACCACCACCAACCACCACACACACCACCACCATCGCCACCACCGCCACAACCGCCACCTCCACCACAGCCCACCACCACCACCACCACCGCAGAGAGGCCCCAAGAGACGCCCAAGAGGCGCCCAGGAGGCTTCACAAATGCCCTACAGAGGCGCCCGAAAGCCCTCCGACGAGACCCCAAGAGGCATCCATTTGGACTCTGACCCAAAACCCGGGCACAGTGGCGAAGCGTCGTCATCGTCGTCGTCGTCGTTATCGTCGTCGCCGTGGTCCTCGTCGACGCAACTGCCGCCGCCGCCCGCCGCCGCAAGCGCCAGCGCCGGCCCAGGAAACGAAATCGTCGTCCCCGCCGCCGCCGCCAGCCGCCGCCGACGCAGGCGCCGGCCCGAGGATCGGCGGCGACGACAACGGCGAATAGCCCAGGGGCGGGCATAACACGCATTCGCCCGGGAGCCTCGTCCTCGTCCTCGTCTTCCGGGTTGGCGGCCGCGAGCGGCCCCCGGGCCGGCAGGGAAAAACCTCCCGAGACGGCGCATTGGACCCCACACGAAAAACAAAGAATCATGGCCCCCAGTGGGAGTGGAAGACGCGGAGAGTCACACACCCGATCGATACCCCAAACAACGACAAAAACACCGAAACCCACCCCAGAAAGACAACCAAACGTCCGTTATTTAGGGCATATGCTATTCCACTTCCGCCACCCACCCCCCCGCGACCAGGCCAGCCCGCTGCCGCACCCCCCTCTGCGTTCCAGCAACAACCCCCGCCGCGAAGGGGCTTGGGGGGAGTAGGCAACCAGAGGAATCCGGCGCTGGGCGCAGTGAGTTTGCTCCCCCCAGATGGTCCTTAAAGAAGGCCATCGGCGCTGGGGCCATCGGCCCGGAAACGCGGCAAAAAAAAACGCCCAAGCCGGGCTGTCCGTAACGCTGGAACCAAGGAGGGTGGACGCGGGACTAGCGCAGGCCGCGACACCGTTGTGCCCCAATTCACTTCTTTGCGTGTCGTCGATGCGCAGGGGCCAGACTAATCTATTGAGACACGCAACCACACATTAATTCACAAAATCATATGTTGGGTGCTTCGTTGTTGGGTTTCCAGTGCGCACGTCGAAGATCGCACCTGATTCACCGAACTGCCTCAATCGGTTACTTAGGGTCCACTACGGGCACCACATCGGAAACACACGAACACTTAGACATAATAAGCCGGGTCGCCTGGACCATGGGCACCCCCCGGCCTGCCCCCCGGATGGGGCCGAGAGGGAAAGAGCCGTAGCCCCAACCTCCCTCTCTGGCATGGAATCCGGGGAGGTTTGAGCAGTCCCGCCCCCGCACTCACAATAAGACCAGGAGAAGGGCTGATCACAATGTGGCACTATCCGCCAGCGCCCGCACATGCAGCACAAGTCCCCTCCCCGAGCATTACCCGTTAGGGGGCGCCCTCCTGGGGAGGGCGTGGGTGAGCCGTACCCCTTGGGGGATACGTTGCCCCTGACGCGGCCGCTCAGCCACCGGGGGATCAACAGTGCGGCCGCCAAACCGAACCCTTGGCCCCCGCGCCCCTCCAGGAGAAGGAGGGGGAGGAGGGGAGAGAGGAGCAAGGGGAAAGGAGGGGGAAGAGGGGGAAGGGGACACAACGAGGGCCGGGGGGTGGTTTGATACGGCCGCCTTGTCAACCCCCCAAACGCATCCACTTAGACCCCTGACTGTGAGAACCGTTGACAGGCCGAGACTCGTGGAGGCCTCTGCTCTATGCGTCAGTCGCCCGGGAGCCTTGTCGAAGACATAAAGCATCGGCGCCACTGGATACATGTATTGCTCCCCCCTGGGCTATTCGCCCCTATCGTCGCCTCCGAGAGGAGAGGGAGAGAGGAGAAGCATGGGGGGAGGGAGGGGGAGGGGGGGGCTCCGGTTGCCCCCCCCCCTCCAAGCAAAGCGACCACCCACAGAACGCGCTCTTTCCAAGCGCCGGGGCGACGAAGGATGTGCGCGTCGACCCCTCATCGCAGAATTCTTTGTCGAAGAAAAGTTTCTGTACGCCAGCGCCGAGTGGGCCCGCTGAGACAGGGACCCACAGCGTTCGCAGAGGTTTAGACGAACAGGCCACGAGATGACCAAAATTCCTGGCAGGTCCGCGCAGACTTCTTGAATCGGCGCTGGGCCCCCCCTCCTTGGCGCGCGGAGCGCTCCGTGGGCGGAGCCTGAGGCGCCACCCGGGTGGCCCTACGCTGACCCAAGACATCCGCTCGGACCTACGAGAAACTGTGCTTATGACGCTGCCTGTCCCTACGAGTCGCTGCAAACGCTGTGGGACCGTATTTTTGCGGGCCCACTCGGCGCTGGCGTAC